TATTGATACCAGAAAATATTCATAATTCTATTAAAATTGATGATATAGAATGTCAAAAACCTTGTGCTCGTGTTACACGATCACATGTTCATGTATATGCAATACCAACTAAATGTGCTTTAGGATCTTTTATTGAATTATTTGAAAAAGATATTAATCGAAAACTTTATCAAATACTTGAACAAATGAATATTGAAAATTATTTAATGATAAAACAAGATAAATCAATATATTTATTTGGTGGTTTTTCAACAATAATTGATGATAATGATATAAAAAGTCAAATTGAACGAGGTTTAACAACAATATTTCTTTATGCAATTCGAACAGAAAATTTTCTTTCAACTATTGATCTATTTAATTCAAATGATGTTTCATCTGAATTAAAAAATGAAATTAATTATGCTAGAACTTGTTTTGGACTTTAAACATTTGACTTTTGTTTATACTTAAATAAGTTTTTCTTTTTTAAAATACATTCTAAAAATAAATAATCATGTGTGTTGCAATAAATTTCTTCTCTTACGATTTTCAAGATAATGTTTGAAGAAGACAAACGAATTTATTTTCACTTTTCTTATGTTAATTTTAATTCAGATATTGATCTAAACTTTATACGCCATCTATGTTTGAAAAGAATTTTTATACAGTGAACAATAAAAGAGGTATTTCTATGCTTACAACATATATGATGTCGTTGAGTTTTTTCTGTTTATAAATTGTTTTTAATATAATTGATCTCGAATAGAATTTCTCTCTCTGATCTAATAAACAATTATATATTTTATTAAAATGGCAGCATCAGCTTTGGTAGTACTCGAACCTAAATCATTAATTCGTCCAACACATTGGTCAAAAGAAGTTGAAAATGCATATCGTTTTCAATTAGCTGGTTATAGAGATGAACTGGAATATAAACGTATTCGTCAAGTAGCAGAAGTATGTGTTAGTTTTTTTTTTGAAAAGTCTATTATTCATTATGAAATAATATATCTATAGATTGATATATGGCCTGATAGTGGTTTTGTTAAAAAATTACAACGTCGAAAAGATGGATTTTTTTATTATTTTGATAAACTTCGTGAATGTCCAGATAAAGAAATAAACAAATGTAAAATATATTCATATTAAAAACAAAAAAAACAAAATAAATTATTATGAATAAATGTCATATTTATAATGTTCTGTACTTTTTCTTCAATTTACTTATTGTATTCTATTTTAGATATTATATGAGTATATAAAAGAATTTCTTTAAACAATTTATATCAAGGTAGATTATTTATTTTCTTTTTTATTGTAATTGAAACGCAAATAACTCATTATTGAACATAACAATTAACTAATAAATGAATATGTTTCCAAATATGCTATAGTCTTACGAAGAAACGTATCCATTTGTAAATCATCGATCGAAGTGACATTTTGCTCATAATCAGGTTCAGTCTTATGACAAGGTACTCAAAGAGAAGGAATTTTCATCTGAAATTTTACTCATGAATAGGTTATATGATCTTTAGAACATTCTCGAAGTTTTAGCCAAAACGAATGATGTCTTTTTGAGATATTGAATATTCATCATCCATTTTAGCTAAACCTTCCAAAATATTCTAAAGATCATATAACCTATTCATAAACAAAATTTCAGATGAAAATTTCTTCTCTTTGATTTTTCTGTGAATACCTTATCATAAGCCACAACCTGGTAAATCAGTCATCATTTCAGAAGGAAGGGGATGTATGGGGATGGATATTTTAGGATTTTCCTGGTTCCAGTGACGAGGGAACATTCCCAACTATCACATTGCCTTTGAGTCGAGCGTATGCGCCTCATGTAGGCTCTAATGATCTATGAATACTCTGAAAAAAGTTCGTGCTGCTAGCTTATGACTAGCGAGATGTTGCATTTTTACTGCATGTTTAAGAAAAAAAGCCGTGGTCCCCCTCAGAAACACTAGGAAAACTGAGTTTCGAACTTTGACTTGAAACTTTGCATAGAGATAGGCCTCAATAAAAATAGTTTATTGTGAAAATTTCAGATCTTTTCATTGTTCCTATCCTAAGATACAGCTATGGTAAAAATGCTGATATACACCAACAGATTTCGATATTCTTATTTCAGACTAGGAACAAAGAAAAGATCTGAAACTTTCACAATAAACTATTTTCATTGAGGCCTATCTCTATGCAAAGTTTCAAGTTAAAATTCGAAACTCGGTTTTTCTAGTGTTCCTGAGGGGACCAACGGCTTTCTGTTTAAACATACAGTAACAATGCAGTATCTTGATAGTAATAAGCTAGCAGCACGAGCTTTTTTCAGAGTATTCATAGATGATTAGAGCCTACATGATGTGCATACACTCGACTCAAAAGCAATGTGACAGTTGGAAACGTTCCCGTTAGCGAGATTTGAAGCAAACTTATAATTGTTTTCCTGGATTTTCAATTCCAGTTTTCGATATTCGCTGAAAAGTCTTTTGAAATATTGAATCTTCAAAAAAATAACGATATTTTATACATTAGTAGATCTATCTATGAGTAAAATATTACAGTGAACACTCTACTTTTTGACTGTTCAGCGTACAAATAAAGATATATGCAAAATTCTTTTAGATTTTTGCTAGTCTAATCAAGATGTCCTTCTATTTTACTACTAGTTATATCCAGTTAATGTATCAAATATTCAAATAATCACAAAACAATTCTAAAATGATTTCTTAATACGAAAATTTATAGTCATTTTGATGAAAATATTCTTTATATTTTTGTAGTAAAATTTCTACTTTTACTTTATAGCACATTGAAGAAAAACATTATTTATATCTGTATTTTTTAAAAGAAGTTAGCAAATCTCTAGTGTTTATTTATTTTTCGGTCTTTTGACTAATAACAATAATAAAAATTTCCAATTATACAGAAGTGTCACACTCTCCGGGCTAGATCATCGTTGAAAAATCATTATTGGATTGTAGTATTAAATACATCAAATAATATCGTGTAAAAATGACAATGAACTTTTATTACTAACTTAATTCTTCTTTGACAAAAGAAAAAGAATCTGACTGAAATTCAAATAAATCAATTAAATATCATTGATCTGTTCAAGAAAATAAAACATTCAACATTGACATTTTATTAAACAAAATAAATTAACAAATAATTGATATACAAAAA